TAGAGGGAGCTTTACTCTGTATCTAACCCTGTGCTGTCCCTGTCCTGGGAGTGTTTGATGGAGGGGACAGTGTAGAGAGAGCTTTACTATGTATCTAACCCCGTGCTGTCCCTGTCCCTGGGAGTGTTTGATGGAGGGGACAGTGTAGAGAGAGCTTTACTCTGTATCTAACCCCGTGCTGTCCCTGTCCCTGGGAGTGTTTGATGGGGGGACAGTGTAGAGAAGGCTTTACTTTCAATTCACAAGAGTTGAGAAAGCTTTACTCTGTATCTAACTGTGTGTGCTGTCCCTTTCTTGAGAGTGTTTGATGGAAGCACAATCATGAGAGCATTACTTTCAGCTTTAAAGAGAAGAGGCAGCTTTACTCTGTATCTCACCCACCTTGATGTTGCCAGGGTTGGAGGGTTTGATCGATAGGGAGAGGCTCAGGGTATTTTCCCTGGAGCATCAGAGGCTGAGGGGTGACCTTATAGAGGTTTATAAAATCATGAGGGGCATGGATAGAGTAAAAGTCTTTTCCCCAAGGAGGGGGGAGTCCAAATCTAGAGGGGCATAGGTTTAAGGTGAGCGGGGAAAGGGACCTGAGGGGCAACTTTTTCACACAGAGGGTGGTGTGTGTATGGAATGAGCTGCCAGAGGAACTGGTGGAGGCTGGTACAATTACAACATTTAAAAGGCATCTGGATGAGTATATGAATGTTTACAAGGATATGGGCCAAATGCTGGCAAAGGGAGTAGATTAATTTAGGATATCTGGGTCAGCACGTATGGGTTGGACTGAAGGGTCTGTTTCCCTGCTGTACAGCTCCATGACTTTATGAGCTGATGTTTCAGACTGAAACACCTCCAGGATCTGAAGGCTGTGAGTTGGATTAAGGGACAGGAAAACTGAGTGACGGAGAGAGAGAAAAGAACTTACCGTGACCTCACACCAATACTCTCCCCACCGGGTGATGGGTTCATCAGGAATCCTCAGCGCATCGTCTGGCACGAACACTCGAAGCTGAGAAACAAAATCAGATCTTGTTCATTCCCTGGTAAGAGCAATCCTCACTAGTTTGGCACCACATCTGCTCCCTCCACCGCCGACGCACAGTCGCATCTACAAGATGCAATGCAGCGTCTCACTCCTTAGACAGCACCTTCCAAACCCACGGCCACTTCCATCCAGAAGGACAAGATACATGGGAACGCCACAACCTGCAAGTTCCCCTCCAAGCCATTCACCGTCCTGCATTAACGCTTTGTCGCTGCGTTAAAATCCTGGAATTCCCTCCCTAATGGGAATTGTGGGGTGTCCCTACACTGCATGGACTGCAGCGGTTCAAGAAGGCAGCTCGTCCCTACCTTCTCAAGAGGCAATTGGGGCGAGCGATCAATTGCTGGGCCCAGCCTCGAAGCTGCCCATATCCCACTGAAGAATCAGTATTATAGACTGGACATCACAGGGCTTTAAGGAGTGCGGCTCGAGTAGCGAGCGGCTCCCAGGTATCTCTGTCAACGTACCTCCTTCAGGAAATGTCGGCACACCAACTCCTTCGTCAGCTCCCACTTCACATTATTCTTCATTCTCACTGTCAGCACCGAGTTCTTCAGGAACTGCACCGTCTGGGAGACAGAAACACGGGAAATCACTCACACACACACCACACTCACACTCACACATCACACTCACACACAGACACAGACACTAGCCATTCGCAAAGCATCTCCCACTCAAGTAAAGGAACTTCCGTGGAACTAATGGACCACAGAGCTCATGGCCACTGATCTCTGAAGGGGAACGGCACGTTTGCGAAAACAGCGCATGGGGCGTTCAGTGGTTAGCACTGCCGCCCCACGGCGCCAGGGACCGGGTTTCGACCCCACCCTCGGGCGACTGTCTGTGTGGAGTTTGCACATTCTTCCAGTGTCTGTGTGGGTTTCCTCCAGGTGTTCCGGTTTCCTCCCACAGTCCAAAGATGTGCAGGTTAGGGTGGATTGGCCGTGCTAAATTGTCCCGTAGTGCCCAGGGATGTGCGGGTTAGGGTGGATTGGCCGTGCTAAATTGCCCCGTAGTGCCCAGGGATGCGCGGGTAGGGTGCATTGGCCGTGCTAAATTGCCCCGTAGTGCCCAGGGATGTGCAGGTTAGGGTGGATTGGCCATGCTAAATTGCCCCATAGTGCCCAGGGATGTGCAGGTTAGGGTGGATTGGCCGTGCTAAATTGCCCCATAGTGCCCAGGGATGTGCGGGTTAGGGTGGATTGGCCGTGCTAAATTGTCCCGTAGTATCCCGGAGGAAACCCATGCAGACACGGAGAACGTGCAACTCCACGCAGACAGTTGCCCAAGGGTGGGATCGAACCCGGGTCCCTGGCACCGTGAGGCAGCGGTGCTAACCACTGAGCCCCTGTGCTGCCCCTATACACAGAGTGGGTGAGGAGCAGCTGTTCCCCTTACTTTAATGGTCTGACACAAGGGGACACAGGTGAGGGGCAGGAGGTTTAGAGGGATGTAAAGAGAAACCTTTTTACTCAGAAGCTCTGGAATGAACTGCCTGGGAGGGAGGCAGAGGGAAATTGCCTGGCATCTTTTATAAAGGACCTTGATGAACAATTGGCATGTCACTATGTTCCAGGCTTTGGATCAAGTGCTGGTAAATGGGATTAGGTTAAAGGTCAGGCATTTCTCATGTGTTGGCGCAGACTCGATGGGCCGAAAGTTCATCGCTCTATGATTGTGTGAAACATCCCGAGTTTGTCAGAGTGCGATGGGTCTGAATTTAAACCTGGGCTATGTAACTGGGCTAAAGGGATCTGGGGCCAGAGGCCTCTGAGGCACAGGTTTGGAAATGGAGTCGCAAAGGTGGGGGACAGAGAGAGTGAGAGAGACTCAGGCAGAGAGGTTAGGGGAGGGAAGGTGGGAGCTCAGGGTCCCCATGGATCTGAACGCAGGGCCATTAATGGGGAAGCAAAGGGAATGGTCAAAACACTGCAGCAAACACAACTCGCAGGATTGCGGGGGGACCGCGAGGTTGGGGGG